CCCGAAAGTACGACCTACCGTGAAAATAAGCCTAGACTGATTTTTTTGGGATGGGCCTCATATAATCCCCACAATCCCCATAATCCCAACCCCAAAAACAAGCCGTAGTGAAGGGGGTGGACATGGCCAGCACACGAGGCAGCCCTTCCCTTCCCCAGTCACCTCAGAGGCTTGGCTCCTTAATTGCAGCCTGCGGATCAGGTGAGCTAGCGAGGGCTGGAAGCTGCCTCTCATTCTGGCACCTGGAAGTGCTTCTGGCACACTCTTGACAGCCCCAGCGCTGCCCGTGACACCAGGCAACCTCACAGCGGAGGGACCCTCGAGCAGGTGGCAACCATGATTTGCACTCCGCCTGGCCTGGAACTGAGGTCTATAGAAATCAGTTCCCCTCCCCCTGCCTCTTCCTGTCTGCGAGGCCTGCTGTACCTGCTGCTGTTGGCCTTGCACGGGGTCTTCGCCCTCCTTACAGCCCTGTCAATAGCCTGGCTATGCTGCTCCTGCCTGGCATGGAGCAACTTAGCCCAGATCCCATAGAGGCCTCCCACTGCAATGCTCTGCCACAGTTTCAGAGCAAACCTCTGCCTCCCCTGCTCAGGATTGCAAGGCTGAAGGCTTTAAAGGAGCATTTTTGCGATGTGCGTTTGTGCAAGGCTCCCCAAGGATAGGATGATTGGCAGGGAAATGGGGTGGGGAGATTTTTCTGCTGATCGGAGCAAGCAAAGCCTCCAGCCTTGCAATCCTGTGCAGGAGTGTGATCAAACTTCCAACTCCATTGGACCCAGTGGGCACAAGCTACTCCAAGCCAAAAAGGGAAAGGAGCTGATGGGGGGCTGTGGGGAGTTCTGGGAGTTGAAACCCACAAGTTTTATAATGGCCAAGCGGCTGTCCATGCTGCTGCTGGCCTCTTCGCCATCCTAGCAGGACTGTTCTCAGCAGTGCTGCGGAACTGCTTCTGCCTGGCTTGATGGAATCATCCCAGATCGAAAACCATCTGAGTGCTGCCAGGCTGCCAGGGCCTGTTCGTGAGCAGCAGCCAGTGGAGCCATTATGCCTAAGCGTCCTCCGCTGCCTTTGGACTGCTGAGCGCCAGCCTGCACGCCTATTTGGTGCTACAGACACTGGGCTTACATCTACGCTGAGCCCAATGTTCTTTGAACCCTGGCAGGCGCTGCAGCTTTCTTGCTATCTGCATGAGGCTGCCCCTGGCCGGCTTGCTCCACCGACTGCAGGTCAGTGCTGGAATAACCTATCTGTTAAAGAGATGAAAGGGCTGGAATGTAGCCATTCATGCAGTCCTGTTTGCTCTTGTCCTATCTACAAAAAGGCATGTTCCTTTGTAGCCAGTGAACTGTATGAAATCTTGCTATGATCTCTACCAATTGAGATAAGGTAAGCATCCGGAGCATAATAAATTGGCAGCCCATAATTTTTACAACTTAGCCATCTCACTGAAGAAAGGGCACTGGTATATACATCCTTCTGGTTAAGAACATGTTATACTAACCTTTTTAGGTCGCCCCCAGGCTGACAATTCACAGCTTCTGCTAGCTAAAGGTTTCCTTTATCCAGAAGAGGGGTGAGGTGGGAGTTGGTGAAGTTAGAACTTCTAGAGTGATGTATCAGAGCCATCCTCTCTTAGAAATATTCAGCCTTTTGCTTTGGATACCCTCCTCCAAAAAGACTTTTATTACTACAAGTAAGAATGATGGAAATGCAAGGGCAGTGGGGGTGAGCAGTTACAAGAGAGGAAACCTTGGGTCATACTTTCCCAAGTAACTGAAGATTTGATAAGCTCAGCAAGATGAGAAAAGGAATGGCTGTTTAAAAACCTTATTGTGATGGCCTGGTTGGGGCTGGTAGCAATCTATTGTCTCCAGCAGAGGGGTGTGGGACCAGGGTGGACTCTGGCCCTCTCTTGCTGACCCTCTCAGGCTGCCCGGGGTCTTGGACACCCGGCCCTTGAGCTCCTGGGGTGCTGAGATCCTGGGACCTGGCCCTGCTTCCCACCTGGCTGTGCTTGTCTCCTTGAGGCTGCTGCTGCTGTGCTTGCCCTCCTTGCCTGGGCGGGTGTGTGTGTGTGTGAGAAGTGGCGGGGCTCCTGCTGGAGGGGGCTGCTGCTGGTGCTGCCACTGGGAAGCAAGACGAGGTGGGTGCCAGGTCTGTTTTTGCTTGCCCAGAGCCGCCGCAGCTGGGATGGGACAGGTGGCTGCCCAGTGCATCCGGTAGGCCAGATTGTATGCCTGCCCCCCTGCACCTCTGCCTCCACCTGCTGCTTGAAGGAGCAGCCAGGAGTTCATGACACTCGGACTAGTGGTGGGATTCAAATAATTTAACAACCGGTTCTCTGCCCTAATGACCAGCTGGGTAGGCATGGCTGGATGGTCATGAAGGGGCACTTCACCTCGCCTTGTGTCTCCTGACCGTGGGGATGCTGTGACGGTCGTGTGAAAAATGGTCATAAGTCACTTTTTTTAGTGCTTTATAACTTTGAATGAACCACTAAATGAACTGTTATAAGTCAAGGATTACCTGTACAAAAATAAAAAAGGTTCTTTGCTTGAAAAAGCTGCCCTAAATACCAATCATTAGATTAGAAATACTTGCAAGCTGGAGTTACAAATCAGGCTAGGTGCGAGAGCACCTTGAGGAATTAAAATAGTTAAAATGCAGTGATAACTATCAAGCAGCCAACTCTTGCTCATAAAGTGAAATCCTTCAGCAGAGAGGTCATTTAAGCTCTCCAGAAAAAGCACACCCAGGAAAAGCAATCCGTAGATCCATTTGCACCACTTAAAGATACCAGCTGGTCTCACTCACCTCACAAGATATCCTAAGGAAATCATCCAGATTTAATGAAAGATCACGTCCCCAGAAAGGCAGTAAAAAATCAGTGCCAAGCTTGCATCCTGCCTCTTGGAAGTACACCCCAAAAGGACAGTGCCAGGAACTACTAAAGCAGTGAAGGAAGACCTCCTCCCCAGATAGAAAAGGAAACCATGAGGCAGGAAAAAATTCAAACACAATACAAATAATTAAATCACAAGAGTTTAAATCCTTTTAAAACTAAAACACAAGCCTCGTCTGGCTCATTGCCAGATATCACACTCCGGGCAAGCTCAAGTGTAAACACTTGAGATAAGTCTAACTACAAAGAATTCAATTAGTGCTAGAATGTAGCAAAAGATCAAACACAGTAGCTGTTGCTTGTTAAACCAATTAACAGAACAAATAGACATAGGAGCTAGTCTGATTTCTCAACCCTGCTTCTTTTCAGTAACAGAGATTAACTTTTTTCTTTCCAAACAAAGCTAAATAGGGAAAGTTATCCCATCAATAAACACAGGATTAAACATCACCAAACACAGAATTAAACTTCATCAAAAACCAGTTTTAGACCAAAACTGAGAAAGGGTATATAAACTCATATTTGAATGTCAATCTTTCTAGCTAGCCTGTCAGCTAAAAAGGTACTCCTTTGGTCTTTTTAGCTGCCAGAAAAAGGGAGTGTGGGAAAACAAGGCATTCTTGAAATGTCTAGATATCAACTCAGCAGCCTAAAGTTGTCGGAGCATTAGAAGGTTATTGGAGACCGTTAGGAATATAAGTCAATAAATGTACTTTGTTATGGACATCTTGTTGAGTTTATCTATCCGCACCTGTACAGTTTACAAATCTACCACTGTACAGAATACAGAACACCAAATGTTCAAAGCTAGGTAGAAACACATCTTTTTTTTCACCATTGGAGCCACTAATTGCTCTTTTGGAAGAAGTATCTTTCTGGGTTCAGTTCCAAGTGGGGAAGAAAGACACTGGAAACAGGGTGACTGCTGGGAAAGATGATTTAATGGTGGACCGGATCACATGCCTGGGAGCTCCTGGCTGAAAAGGGGAGAGATGCTGAAAGTGCCTGGGTTTTATGCCCTGTTTTGGGATTTGAATTTGAGCTTATATTCTGATTGGTTGTCAGACTCCCATGGGGCCATGCAGGGGCTTGTCCTGAGTCCCAGGCTTGGTTAAGCCTTGCTGGATGACGATGTAATGAAAGGGTTTTGGGATACCTATTATTCGACTGCCTCCTTAATGGCCCATTGACAAAGGTTGTGTGTGTGTGTGTGGGGGGGGGGGGGGCTGAGTTTCTGCCTCTCTGTGTTTCTACTTCTCTTTTAGGGGAAATATTCTGCCTTTTTAGTATATCCTAAAATATTTCATTTTTCTAGGAGAGAGGTGGGTTTTCCAACAGCTTTCCAAAAGGCAGGAAAAGGCTACATCGCTAAGACAAGCAAGAACCCCATTCTATTTTCTATTTGATTGGAGAGGGAATGAAAGAATGAAAGATTAAAGCCTGTCTTGAGTTTCAACTCCCAGAATTGTGAGCAGGAGGGAGAGGAGGGAGTATTTCCCACCCCATAGCCTGGCTGAATCACCTTAAGCACAGAAGAAGGTGGGAGGAGGAGATCTCCCGAGGTGCATCAACTAAGGATTTTGCTAATTTCTGAGACTGATCTTCAGGAAAACGAGCTTCAACAAAGATTTCCTCAATGCTCACAAATCACACACACAGTTCCCAGACATTAAGAAGAGGGAGTTCTAAAACTGCGTAGATGACGGCCACCTATCTGCCCCTCTGGGAACTTGCTCTGGTCTTCTGAGTCTTGGCAGGATCCCCCTGGCATATCACTCGTCTGCGCTTGGAAGCGCTGGCAGCCCCCTTCCGGAGGGAACTGAGCATGCGCTTGGCTCTTTCGCGAACTCAATTTTTTTCCGGGAAAGGCTGGGAGCGTGTTGAGCTGTTGAGCCAGGAGGCCGAGAGGCTGTAAGGAATTCTCCCAGGGGTGGAGATCCAGGCGTGACTCGGCGTGAGTGGAGCTCTTTTCTCGGACGCTGGAGGCGAGCCTGGGGCATGCAAAGCTTCGTCAAGTTCCAAGTCGTGGGAAGGGCGGATGGGGTGGGTGGATTCGAGGTCCTCCATTCCCCTGCCGTCCCGTGGAAGAAAGGGACACGCAGGGCAGCTCCGCACCTGCCGGGTTTTCTCTAGGAAGAAAATCAGGGTCGGCAGAAAGAGGGGATCCATTTACCCTCCGTTTCCTCCGGCAAACCTCTGCATGCGGGGAGAGGGAGAGGTTGCCTTTCCAAAACACACCGAATGTCTCGATTCCTGGACAATTCCCTGCACATTTCTTGGCCCCTTTTCCAGAAGGGGTTTCCTTCGCCTCCCCTTTCCTGGGCCGCGAGAAGCGACCGGCCAAAGTTCCTCCGGTTAGCTTTGTATGCAAGGCTGCAGTTACGCGTGTAACGAGTTGAGTGCAGGGCGTGTAAGGACTGGAAGTCGGTTTCCTCCGTT